TTATTGAGAGTCAGATTTAACCTGTATCTGCGTCTAGCTAGCTAAGACATCATGGCGCCCTCGTCATTTGCAACCTTGGGTTGATTTCGGTGGCTGTTGTTTGTGCTGCATCTCTGACGACGTATGTCACCCACAAGCGGCGAGATATTCATAGCCATCGTCACTGGGAGAAATGTAGCCGCCTCGAACCCCACGATATAATCCCCGTCCCTGCCTATCAAGACGAGGTTGTCCAGGCTTACTTGTACAGCTATCAGGACCTCTATCGCGACCGTTGTAACGACTAGGGCCGTGGCTTTCCCGATGTCAGCGCCTTGGGATGGAATGTCCTCAACGTCTTCGGCGCCGAGAAAGAGATTGTAGCTCAAGGTGGAACCAGCGTGTCTACGCCGATAGTGGCAGCTTCGATCAATCGCATCAACGAGGAGAGGCTCAAAGCAGGAAAATCGACTCTGGGATTTGTGAATCCAGTCATTTATAAAAATCCACAGATGTTTAATGATGTGACAAAGGGAAATACGTCGATATGCGATTCTGTGGCATTTGAGGCAGCGGAAGGCTGGGATCCAATCACGGGCTTGGGCACACCGAATTACCCAAAGATGCTGGATGTCTTCATGAAATTGCCATAGTATGGATATAAAATGAGTTAATGAGCTTGGGGGTGATAATTAAGAGCCTTTTAGCTTACATCGCTGTTTCTATGACTCATGAATGTGGGCTATGGTACAACGTACCTATAAGTAATGATGGCGTTAAGCAGAGCACCACTATCGACATCTCCCGTACTGTAAGCATTGGTGAAATTACATGTAGTCTTTGGGAAAGATGGTCATTAATGTATTTCATCTAGTGATGGCATCTATACTAGGTATTACGCAAAGGGAAGGTAAGCAGCAATAAGGCCACCCCATCCGCCCTTGTTATCGGCGCTGAGAGCAGCAGCATTGCCATTTACAGTGACCATGTTCTTCACCAAGTGTGTGCCAAGGTTGTATATCTTCAACCTCTTGGGCTGGCCCTCAATAGAGACAATGTTATCTTGAGCATACGGGCCCGAAACACCATTAAGACCGTTGAAGAACTGTGTGATGTTGTTAGCATTGAGATCGAACAGGAGGTATGAGGATGTAAGTGAGCAGATGTAGTCTTACCTGCCAGAATCCCAATCCGTAGAAGGTCAAATCGCTGCCACCGACAACACGAAGAGACCAACCCATGAAACACTGAAGCGAGCTTCCATCGCAGTTGGAGTAATCGGGGTCGGAGTATCGGGCATCAGGCCTAGGAAACAAGTTAACATCTAAGACAAATGCAAGAATAAACAATTATGGAAATACTCACGTCCAAGGTTGAGGAGCCACAGGTGCAGGCTGCCAGTATACAGTCTCCGTTTGCGCCATCAAAGCTTGCACGTTTTCAGCACCAACAAACTGATACTGATACAGCACAAAGTGCTCAAATGCAGTGCCAACAAGCCATGTTCCGCGCTTGGATTCGACGAGAAGACCTCGACCGACGGCAACAGACTGACTGGTTCCGTTCGTGGCACCGCTCAATCCGTCCAGATCACGGTTGACGGACCAGCCCCAGACGCTCTCCAAGTAGGTCTGACTGTTGGACTTCAGATGCATGAACAAGAATGCAGCTTTGCACTGCTCGATGGGCGATTGAGGATAAGAGCGGCACTTGGTCTCAACCTCAGAGCCGATTGTTCCACCAGCACGGAAGTGCGAATCCCACAGACCAACATCGCCGGGCTTAAATCCCGAAGCGTTGTTTTCTACGAGAATGGCGCCGGGGAGGACATCAGCAACGTCAAAGGCGATGTCGCTCACCTCGATGATGCCGCGAGAGCCGGTATCGCCCATCTTGAAGACAACTTGAGGGTTCTTCTCATCTTCAAATGTCTTTCCATATGCTATATAAATGATGGATTGATTAGCATTGAAACTATGGGAATATGGTTATACCGGGAATGATCACTCACCGCTAATAGTAGACCACACCTCGCCGACAATTCTGGATCCAACAGGAACGTGAATAGTGCCACTAACTCGGTAGTTTCCGGCAGGGAAATAAGTGATCCTTCGGTTGGCATTGGCCTTGAGAGCAGCATTGATGGCTTTGGTAGCATCTGTCTTGCCGTCACCGGTAGCACCAAAGTCTCGGACGCTCGAAAAGCAGCCAGAGCTGTACTGCTCATACTGAGGTCGCGACTTGGTCCAGTAGGCACCACTGGAGTCGACCAAGGCTTGGGGTCGTGATAGAGAGCCACTGCTTTCGAGGTATTTGCCGGTAGTCTGATCCTTGTAAACTGTTCCTTGGATATAGGATTTCACTGTGGTGGATCGAGTTGATCCAGAAAGAAGAGAGGCTCCTTGAGTATCAGCGACGACATGGTTGACACGGCTGATCTTGAGGTTCTCGATTATCAGGGAGCCATCGGCATTCTTTGTGTGCTGTGATACAACGACCTTGTCGGTGGAAATGGCTTCTGAGTCGATCAGAATGACAGATCCTACAGAGTTGTTTGGTGGGGCAGTGAAGTTAACGCCGGTGTTGACGTTGTTAAACTTGACACCCTGAAGAGACAGTGTAAAGATGTGATCAACCTGGATTCCGGTTTTGACATTGTTAAAAGTCAGAGCGCGCATAGCGTACTGCTGGTTGTTCAGTCGAATCTATATGCATCACCTAGATCAGCCGTTGCTCATCTGTATTCAGTTTATAGCACAGGAATACTCACTCCAATGTTACCTCCGGTAAACTCCAGGTCGCCCATAAAAGTAGCAGAGCCGCCGCCGCCACCAGTGGTTCCGTTGAAAACGACACCCTGGTGCAGACTGTTCTCGGCCATCTTCATGTGGTTGAAGCTCAGAGTCACAGCCTGGGCAGACGGCCAGTTGACACAAGCCACGGATGACTTGACATCTACACTTGTAGTATCGAAAACGAAGTTTCGAACGTGGTAGTAGAGGTTAATGGTAGTGGGAAATGGCGAAGTGGTCGGAGAAGGGAAGGTATCTAACAGATATCGACCAGAGAAATCCTTGGAGGCCTTGAGAACAGGCCTATCCAATGGGTTGCCAACAAGCTGGGTGTAGATGTAGCTGTTGAGGGTTTGTGAGATCTTGTAAGTACCGGAGGGGAAGTAGATGAGAGCAGGTTTGAGCGTCTTTGCAGGAGGATCTCCTGGACCGCAACCCCATAGGCAGCGTCCTCCGGCTGATTGTATCAAGCGTTAGAACGAGATATCTTCAAGAATACTGGGAATCGTACCGTCAATAGCCGCTTGGATCGCAGCGGTATCATCTGTTTTGCCGTCGCCCTTTGCACCAAAGTCTTTCACGTTGCGGTAGACGGAATACGAGGAATCGTTCAGAAATGGAGAGATGCCCGTGTGCTTGATAGTTTCCATCCAGAAATCCTGGTGTCGAATGACAGGATGGCACTGGCCGAAAGTGAGGCTAGCATCTAAAGACAAAGAGAGACCGCGATCAACAAGTCTGGTGATTTTGTGAGCATCGATTGAACCAATTGTGTGTCTAGACACGAGAAGAAAAGAACCTACGATTCTGGGGCAATGTCAATGGCAGCCGCATTGACTACGGACGCGACTCCCGCGAGCCATGTCAGCAATTGAATTGCTCGAACCATGGTGGCACTGGCTTCGTAGCAGAAGGATCAATGCAGATACTCTGAACAAACTGAGGCAATCCTGAACCCACTGAATTGAGCATGCGGAGAGGACTGGGAATTTAAATGACATGGTAAACAAGATAACCTTGATCCAAAGTCCGGGGCAAGATCCGCAAAATTATCCGTCATGTTACAACAACTGCTACCATCCTGACGCTTTTCCGAAGCTTTGGCTTTCCCCAACTTCTGGGCAGCGAATCGGGAAGCCCTCCGAAAATGCTCAAATGCAGGTTCAACAGCTGTGGTTGGTGGAAGATATATAATCTGGGGTACCGGCGGTACTCAGAGCCGGCCCGAATGACCTGGAGCAGCATTGAGGATCGAATCATCGCGAAAGCAGCAAGGGACGATCTTGTTGTGATTCGTGTAAATTTACATCTACGAACTAAAGCGGTGGGGTAAACAGCTGGGACGGCGCTGTTTAGGCATTGAAAAGGATATGAAATGTCATCATGTCAAAATTGATGGCCGATCAGCTGTTGTTACGTACAACTCCGTTGGTCGATTACATGTACACACAGCTTGTTTCAGAATCTTATAGGCTGGACAATGCCAATGGGCAACTTTCAACGCTATTCTCGACAAACAGCTCACCGCAAAGAAGCGCCTCTAGCTGCCGACAAGAAGACTATGTTTGAGGAACATCCATGCTTAGAATGACCCCCACAGGTCAAATCGGGAAACTTTGTCTTGCCCGATTAGATGGGCTGGAGAAAGCTCACATTGTCATGCGCCTTTGGAATTGAGCTTGAACGACGGCTCCAGCCAGCCAGCCAGCCAGATGAAAAAGGGTTCTGTTGTACAAAGAAGGCATTTACCCCTGCCATTGTTACCTAACGGCAACAATCCATACTGCGACCAACGAGTGATTCTATGGGGGCATAGATGACCATCTCAAAAACTCACCATTGTTCAATGATGTTGCAAGAATGATGCCGGATGATCTATCTAGAAGCAAAATTTCACGACTTATTGTCTTCCGCCTCTTCCGCCTCTACAGTAGACGAATGATTGGAGAGGAATCTATTAATAAACAGTAAAGGACGCTCAGAATGTCGTCAGAGGCACGGTGCTGGGGTATGAAGAACTTTGTTTGTCCGCTTGGTTGAAATAGGCAGCTGTGTAGCAAGCAAATATGCATGCAAGGATCCAATGTTACTTGTCACAAACCATCCCCTCCGACTACAAAACGGTGAAGTAACATGAGCTTTCATGAGCCTTACTTATTAAACTGACCAAAAAAAAGAAAAGCAAAAAAAGAGAGCGACTGAATCTCAACCGCGTTGTTATATAGGAAAAGCCCAATGCGGGGGTCGAACCCGCAACCTTGAGATTGCATTCAGAATGTGTAACTCTTAAGAGTCTCACGCTCTACCGATTGAGCTAACCGGGCAGGTCACGTGGTGGTTATCAACCAATCACGAAACGCCGATTGAGCTGTCAGTCGCTTGTTGAGAAGAGACGTTCTTTTTACACTCTATGAAGCTATGGCATACTGCAAGTGAAAGCAAAAGAAACGACTGCTCCAGCGCTTGAGCTTTTTCCTTTTCTGTCGACTTCGCATATAATACTATTCTAGTAATTGTCTTATGTCATCAAGGATTCTTGCTATGAAAACGATCTTTCGTAAAATATCAGCAATAAAGCTTGGGAGTCAAACATCATGATGCTAGTGAAGTTAGACAGAATATCCCATCACCACAAATTCTCCAATAAAACGCCGCGTAATATTGGGTGTAACCAAACTGCCGAAAGTTGAGACAGGTTGGGTATCACACGTCAACCGGCATCTGTTTGCATAAATCGTCTTACACCAATGTTACCGCCATGATCTCATCACATTTGCGCTCTATTGTAGGCAAGAACACAGCTATATATAAAGCTACACTGCGCTTTTCGTTCATCAACGTAGAATGCATTGCCCACCCAAGACAAGAAAAAACCTTAAACAATTATATATTTTGACAATGTCCTTCGACGAGTCCTTCCTTAGCCCGAGAGGCTTGTTGGTGAACAACAACTCAAACTTTGTCTGTCATGGGCCGAACTTCTCAAAGCTCCAACAGGCGACGCAGGCAACGCTAAGATTGCCATATGATGACCAAAAACTTCGCTATGTGGCTGGGTTTACAGACAAGGGAATGCAAGAGGTATTGCTCAAATCGTACTGTTCTGTCAGTAAGACTTGAAGCTAAAGCTAACAGCTGTACTCTGATGTACTTATCCCTATCATGGATGACTTTTACAAGGTATACACCCATTCTCAGTTGTCGCCAGTCATTCCAAATAACAACGCAGCAGATTACCAACCAATCTATGGTTTTGGAAGTAAGTAAAAAATACTGCCCCGCAGATGTTGAAATGCACGGAATTTAAATCTATGAATCAGAGTGGATATCGTTCCGTGGGAGACGTATGCAGACACATTCTGGAAATCGCAGCTGCAGCTCAAATGGACTATGGTAAAGAAAGCCCATCTTCCAATCTCCCTCCAATTAATCTGATCCCGATATATGTCTCATGTTCATCTAGACAAGATATTTGATGCTCTTGAGAGACTCTACGGCCATGAATCAGACAACGACAGCCTCCGCGAGGAAGTTCAGGCGAAAATGAAAGAACGCATAGATAAACTCGCATCCTTATCAGATATAGCCACCGACGTAACCAACAGCCTGAGAGACGCTATTGGAAACGTTACTGAGGCGCAAATCCTGGTCAAAAAGATTGGCGCTGATTTGTCCAGTCAAGATACCATCGAGCGACTTCGCGCATGCCATGAGGGCGAACGTGACTTGGAGGACTTTGATGATGACTGCAATGCGTTGGGAATTCTCCAGGTGAGCCTTCAGCCCAGTCAATCTGTAGAGCCGCATATGATTCTCTCGTGCCTTTATGCCATTGCTGACGAATAAGTTGAACAGGACATAATAGACAAGCAAAATATGCAAGACGACTCGGGCGGCTCAATGAATAACTTGCAGCACGCTGTCGGTACGGCATTCCCTCCAATTCACACTTTGAGTCAGAAAACGAGTGATATTGATAGGAGATTTCTGTAGGAGCCACTGTCGATATCTGGAATGATCTCACTGCATTGTCTACCTATGTGGCGGAACATACAAAACCTGGACCAGGGCCTCTTCTGGATCTACAGAAGAATAAGCTCTTGGAGATGTGGAGCGATTTGGCGACCGAAGGTATGAGAAGGCCATTGTTGACTAGGGAACTGCTGATTGCCAAATGCTAATCTAGCTTTCTACTATATAGTTAAGGATTTCCTAGACAAATATATGGGATAGCTCAACCTTCACGGCAGCTCCAGCACCGTGAATCTGCTCGTATTGCAGCGACGCCTACTCTGAACCATCAGTTGCTCGACTACAACTTAGTGTAGTCTTTATGAATCTCTATAAGAGAAAGGAACAATTTCAGGCTGAGGCTACTTGCGCTTTGGTTGATACTGTATGTGGTGTAAGCTTCACGGATCTTAGCTCTCATAGTCAGTACCCTGGTTTATTTTTTCAGTTTAATCTCTTGTTGGCAGCACACACGCAGAGACTGTCAATGGCATACTGCAATTTACTACATCTCTTCCGAAAGATACTATGTTAGCTATGCTGTCTTACTCCTTCAACTTTCCTCCTAAGAATTGACTCGGTACAAATCGAACATGTCCTTCCCATTTCAGATCAACTCCTACCAATCCACTCAAGTCAACGTCTTCAGGGTTCAGAAGTTTGATCTTCCATTGCGTAAATGGAGTGGGCTCGGCGTGATATTTAGTCTCAAATATGGGATTATCCCATGTCTTTCCTCTTTCTCCGTTTTCGTTCAGCTCGTAGGAACACTGGCGAGACTGGGGAAGGCTTGCAAAGCGAAATACCTGACCATCTCGTATATCTTCGTATATTCCAGATGTGGTAATTTGCAAGTGGACAATTACCACGCCGTCTTTGACGGCTTTCTTCTTTGGAAGTGCTCCTCTGAGAGTTGGATCTAAGCCGCTCAGCCGGTAGTGAGAACCCCCGAAGAAAACCCCAGCCAAAGATTTGTTGGGGGCTAGAGTAAAGCTACCAGTGTATGTTTCGCCTGTAAGGCCTTTGACCAGCAATTCTCCAAAGTTAAATGGGAGCTACCAGTATTGTCAGCTATTACTTCCTTCGTGACAGCGCTGTGAGTGAGCATATATACCTTGTCACTTTCCTCATAGTACGTGAAGCCTTTTTTGTACCGGTCAGCTAGTCCTGTAAAAAGATAGAAAGCAGCAGTAGTAGCTTACCTTGGAAATCGCTGGGATATTGCTCATCTATTGTCTCCATATCGCGGGCGATCTGATAAAGATCGCTGTCGTAATCTTCAATGGATTTCGTGGCGTCAAGAACAAGTTTGCTCTCTGAAAGAGCCCAGTATCGATATGCCCAAACCATATTTTGTAGCTCATTCACCACACCCGTTTTGAGAGCCAATAGACGATCATAGAGTTGAACCTCGGCTTTGAAGTAGACGTCCTCTTGTCCTGTATAGCTGTCAATCAAGCTCTGGAGATCTTTCACCTGTTTTGTGCAACGAATGAGTTCCATTTGAGCCTGAACATACTCATACCCAGCTTTAACAGCTTCAGCCTGGATTTGGACCAGCTGCTTTCCGTTGATTGCGTGCTTCCGCAGAGCAAGCTGGTATGCAGTTGCGCCTTCAATTCCAGCCGTAATTGCGAATGCCATCTGGTCATCTGATTCAAGAATCCAAATGTCCCAGGCTGCCATGGTAGCAATAGCACTGGAGTCCGCATCCCCCTTTGTCGTGCCCGAGATCTCAGCGATGGAGGGAACATCGACAGAAGGATTGGATTCGAGAGCTTTGATTGCCTTGACCATTTGAGATACTGATGGATATAACTTGCCCAGTGCCTTGACAACATCTTTTAGCTTCTTGAATGTGCCTGAAGTTACTTTTGCTGCGACTTGATTGGCAATTTTTTCCGCTTCCACAGCAGCCTCAACAGCTTTCTCTGCTCCGCTGGCTCCAGCCGGATTACCAACGCACATTTCGCCAATGCCAACAGCAAATGCTAAGCAGATGTCAAATTAGCCTCGTCTAGGCAGGCCTGAATCACGGCAAGATACTTACTAATGACAGCCGTGATGATTTCTTTTATTGCTTTAAGCTTCTGCTCGAACTTCCATTTCTCTATGCCATCCTGAAAGTGTACCCCGGCATTCTGTACAGCGTCATTCTCAAACCTGAACTGTTGGTCGCAGCTGTCGGCTGCTTTAGCAGCATCCTGGTACTTTTGATATGCCGAGTCACGCAGTTTGCCTTGCATGGTTTGGCTCTCAGTAGCTTTGGCAAGCATTGTCTTCCACGCCTCAATCTGCTCTTTCAGAGACGTTGCTTTATCCTGAAAGCGATCGTACTGAGTCTCGAATGCGGAGGCAGCCGTCAGCGCCAGTTGCATGGTGTCCTTGTATGTGTCTAAAACTAACACAGGGGCATAGGTCATATTTTGGCCCGCCATAACTCGGCCTGCAAGTTGCTGGCCCAGGGCCACGGCTTGTGTGTTGAGCATCGTGTAGGATTTCTGACCCGCTGTGATGACCGCCACATAAGAGCAGATAGAGATGGCAATTGAGCTGTTGATCCAAAATTGAATCAAAGCAATCCGTAGCTCGGTCTCGAGACTGGCCTGTAGCTCAGGATGGCTATCGTAAGGATACTTCTTGAGATATTCGACGACCATCTCGCCGCTATCGAAGGCTACAGCTACCCCAACATTGTCGGTATCCGCGCCGAGATCCAGCGCTACCGGTTTGGAATCACCCATACAGACTGATATAGGCTGGTCCAACACACGAGCATAAATAGAGATAGCACTGGTGGCCGCATCGCCTGAAGGGACACGTAAAGTGACCGGCTTGGCCGCGGTCAAAACCCTGGCTACAATATTTACGGTGCCGTATTTGGCGGGATTGAGGGTGATATCCTCGGTCATGAAAGCAAGAACATCGGTATAGACGTTCAGATTATGCATTTCAGGATCAAGGACAGCTGATGCGTCCAGAAGGACGCCCCGGTGGATTGCCAGTTTCTGTTAGCATATTAGACTCTACATCTCAAAAACATCTCATTAGTTAGTGTAGGCATCTTCTCACCGAACGATTGTTTACGTTGTCCCCATATCGTAGAGGAATTGCGGTCACGGCCTCCGAGCTGGCATACTTCTGCCAGTCGGTGGGGTTGTTCGGTTGAAGCCTAATATTTGCCATGTTATTAAGGATGCAGATGGAACGAAGGTGAAGATAAAGCTCGGGCTGCACTCTGCATATTGGGACCAACCTGCCTTGATATACGTAAACCGTCTGAGAATTCACAGCATTCCCCAACATTTCAAGA